TATATATATATATATGTACATATATATGTATGTATGTATGCATATGCATGTCACATATTAGTATTTGTTTATGTACAAGGATAAAAAGATGTCTATTTTCACATGTGTTGAGATTGAAGGAGACAGTGATTCACCTTGAAAAAATTCTTGGCAAAGTTGTCCTTGGATGGACAACCATGTGTGAAAAACAGTCGCGTATAAGAGGTCGAGAATCTTAACCGGAAGGATGTGGAATATACTCGGTGTACAAATAGTATCTTTTATAGTTGAATCTATAGTGATTATTAATAAAAATTCATTAACGAAGGATTAATATCGGTGACCTTGAATTTAAAGGGCATACATTTTCATTTTTTAAAAATATATATACGTTATTTTACAAAAATGTAAAGTAAAACGTTGAAGAATAGTTAATCTGAAGATGCTTCTGTTACTTTGTGGTATCCATGTAATATATTTATATAGATGTCGCGTTAATGTGTACGTACCGAATACAATCAGGAGAACAACTTTTACAGGGGGAATACTCCAACTAATACATCATTATTTAAATGAGTTTCTACATCGAGAAAAACTTCTGAACCTTGAATCTGATAATACGCGATCTTAGTATCGGCGATTAGTAATTTCGAAAATCATTTTGAACGTTAAATGTTTAACATTTATTATTTGGAATATTTTATTTACTATGCGTTAAATGATATTTACAAGAGAACGTACATTATAATTCAATCGTATTTTTCCAGTTCTTCGAAATCTCCGGGTTCGAGTTTCATAGAATGAGTTCTACCAATGATTTCTAGGTTAGTTTTGTTTATGTAACATCTGAACTATCGTTGATAGATTCTAACTTAGATTCAGATACCTACGTGTACTACGTATATGTGATTAAGTTTCTCGAAAGCTGCTTCATTTTGCATAAAAATGAGAAATTTAGCAAAAAATCAATACTCATATGAAACTGTTAATGAGTAATCTCTTAAAGACTCGGATGTCGTAAGTCTTGCTATCAGTATATGAATGATACAGACAAATCCTATGATACGAGTTAAACCTTTCAGCAATACGAATAAAAATATAGGTTCTTTAATTTAATTTAGAAAAGTTAAATCTCAAGACGAATCACTATTAGTCATCTTACTGGGCACGGTTCTCGACATAAACCGAGCTATGCACAGTGATTATGTATTTTACCGGTTACGTCATGCTCTCCCGCTTTTGCAAAGATTGCTTATGTTACAATAGATAAGGTTTTTAAAAACTGTAACACTGAATGTTTTTTAAATAAATATAAACTAATCATTAATTCGTAATTAATAATTGTTCATTTTGTAAAGTATGTACTGTTAGTTGTAGAAGTACTATAGTTCGGTTGTTCTCTTTGTTAACGGAAAATTGACACTATTAAAAGAACATCAATTTTGATAAATTGCAATACAGTATGTTTGTAACAAGGGTAAAAACATTGTACAGTCTATATTGTTAAAATTTTAATAATTTCTACAAATATATTTTTTTAATTTTGTTGTGAAATATTTAATATTGGCATAAGAGAACCTTCGTTTTCGAATTTGAAATTAATAAATTTGTATAAATTAAACAAGCTTTAATAAAGATTTTTTTGCAGTTTATTTCCACACTTTATACACAGTAGTTTGATAGACATTTATTTCTTCTCCGATGGATATCAACGTGTTGAGGTACAATTCAATATCTGTAATCTTTTGTTATCAATGACGTTATGCATTTGACAATTTTAAAGACATTCAATAAAAATGGAACGAGTTCTATTCTAAAAAGTTACAAATTTCGAGTTTAAACCGAATTAAATGTAATAATTTAGCAAGATTAATTGTATCATTTAGCAAGAATGACATTTCTTAACTAAAAATATTTTATTATAGCTAATTAATTTAACTAAATTGATCTGATGAGTTTACTTTCTGGAGGAATATTTATCAATACGGGAGTTAAATTAGTTATATAGTTGAAATAAAAATGTGTTCCTTTATAACAAACTTGGGCTGCAAACTTTGTTACTTTAATAAGCATGTTCCTTTTACATGCTTCGAAAGTAATTTATATGCGTTATAAACACATAACATTTACAAGTTATCAATTCTATTAATCATAAACATATATAAAAATGTCAAGACAAGTGTTCTCTAATCGTGGTTGCTCTGATGCTTCATATTTAATGTCGCCTATTTCACATAAGTATTTATAAATTAGTTCTGTTAATTGTTTTTATACTGCATAATGAACCGTCTTTACGAGTGCTTATATTTGAAACAGCTATGTCGTTTCAAATTTCAAATACGTACTCTACCATTGGATCATGGAAAAATGAAGTTTGTACGATTATGCCGTATTACTCTAGTTTATTATACGTAATTGTTAACATCACTTTTGTGCTATGCGATGATAGATAATCAGGGGAAGTGAGGAAGAGTACGTTGACCTACTGCCGATGATGACATAGAACGAATGAAATACGCGGTCGCATGAATAAGCATTATCACTGTTACTCTTCAATTTCTATCGATTTAGTAATTATTAAAATCGATTGTGTGAGTAATAAATAGCGAAATACGAGATGGATCATCTAAATAGAATCACATAAATATTTTCAATAATTATGGGCATATATGTATAAGCAAATGGTTTACTATGTTATATTTTAAACAATCTTTCCTTCCTCCTTTCCTTTCTTCTTTTTCCTCGTTCGCTCAATCTTATTCAAGTGGCTCATTTCATGTAATGACACAGTTACAAATTATAAGTGAAATATCTGGTTGTATTTTAAATAATTTCTTCATGTATTAGTGAGTAACGGAGATATTTATATGATTTCATTTATACGGCCCGCCTTGTATATAAATTATGTTTATTTGAATATGATAATTTCAGACAGAACGGTATTTATCATTATTTGTGGTTCATGAAATTACTAATCCAACATGGATTTTGGAGTTAGAATTTGGCTACGCTTCTTATTTTTTACTTTATTTCACAAATACACTACGTTGGAAAAATAAACAATTTGCTGTAATCAAGTGTAGTAATTAAGAACAAGTGTGAATTAATAATATTTTACAAAGTTCTTCATTTGTAATATGAAGTTGTCGAGGAATGATTCGTTCTTTGTGAATAGCTGTTTTCATATGTTATAAATCATAAGTCATCGAACACACACACCTATAACTATAAAGTAGTAAACAGTGAAATTCGTCGGTTAACTATGATTCTTTGTGTCCCTCTATCTCTTTCTTGAAAATAATTTTGCAAGATTCTCTAATATTATTTTCTGTACTTGTAGCGTCATGGCCCGACCACAAAATCCTCAAAGCTTTAAACGTATTTTTATTTAAATTACATTCTGAGATAAATTGTTTGAATTGATTGTCACGACATCTCAAAAACTATCGTACTGATTAAATTCAAATTTTGTACGCGTCATCAGCACATGTATAGCTATCATGCACGGTACATTAATCATGTCAAGATATATTTTTTCCCTGATTTCTATAGCAATTTAAAGACAAAGAACGGTACGAAAAAAAACGAAACTTTAAGTTCAAAGCGTCGCGCTGGCATTTTTTCAATTTTCTATATATTGCTTTTTTCTTTTCTTTGGTACTACGATATCCGTATTCATATTGTTCGAGAATTATTTGCATTTTTTTTATTCAAGATGTGATGATGGCTGAAATGATGGCAACCAATAACTGTTAGTAATAACTGTTAGTAATAACTGTTTGGTTACAACATGAAGTTTATGCTAATAACTTTCATCGAATTTTCAGAAACAATTAGTAAAGTGTAAATACTGGTACTCGTGGTACTAGAATACCCCCTTAACAGATTATCGTGCTATATTATCAATAATTCGTAACCAGCTTTACAATTATTCAGGTACTTGAACTCCATCCGCGATTTACATTACAACTTTTGAAACATAAACGGTACTTACGATAAGAAAAATTAATCTTTGGATATTCTGTTTGCTGAAGATGTAAGGTGATATCTGAACAAATTGTTTAAATTATAATGTAACCAAAAATTTCTTCAAAAAACGTTAATATTTGACGGAATGATCCCTGTTTTTAGCAATTGTGACATTATTTTGTGCCATTAACTTGTTTAATTTTGCACATTGTTCTATTCAACTGCCGTTTCATCTTGTTATAATTGCATCATAGAAATCATTCAAATTTTTAGACTTATGCTTCTGTGAGTATCTTCTGTTTAACAATGCTTCATAAGTTCTTTACACAAGATGTGTCACGAAATTGGTGCGGGTCGTGCCTTGAATTTAGTCAGGGATGAAGAAAAAATCTTGAAAAAATTGAACAGGATAATAATGTTTGTATTCATGCAGTTTTACTTTTATAATAAATACAACGATGATTTCAAAACTACAAAAGTACTTTCTTTTAAATAGAATAGTATATGTATTTTGATAATACCTATATTAACTATTCGAAATAACCCGAGTAAAAGAATGTTAGCGTATGATGTTTAAAAAGCTAATACATCGTGAGATATTCCGCATTTTCGATGATCCGTATTTACAAACCTAATTAGAGGAGACGTATAAACCTTTTCGCTTCATATTGTACGCGCATCACACATCGTTTTTTTCATATTTTTTTATGATGAAATTAGTTGTTGATCTTTGAAATTTCAGTACTCAAGAGGTCGCATGATGTTGATAATCGACAAGCATTACGTTTATGTTTATGATAATTAATGTATAATATTTTCCACAAAACGCACGATTTATCGAAACTGTACAATATCTCACGAAGTATTGATTTTTTAATTTTTGGACCTAAATAATTTTTTGCGCTAAAATATGCGCTGAGTCGATATTAAGCAAAAACGAGCAGAATTCAATGAAAAAATAGGCATTTAAATCTCTCGGATACAGGAAAACGAGCACACACTTTAATTCAAAAAATATGCATTCAAATTTTTTAGATACAGTAAATAGGTGTTATTACAGCATTTGAATTTAACTCCTTTTTTTCATTCCTTACCAAGTTCTATGTACGAGTGAAATTTTGTGATCACGATATTTTGCGTAAATTTAGTTACTATTGTTATAAATACTCTATATTATATTAATTCCAGTTTGTGGCGAATAGGTCATCAAAGATTTCGTTATTATTACCTGAAGTAAATCGAGCGTGAGTGTATGCCGATTAAAAAGTGTTATCAATCTATTAAGAAGATTGTTGTTTCAAATTTTTATCTACTACTACACGTAGTTCACGCTTATACGATCCTGTTCCTCACTATCCATACAGTGACACTTTTCGTTTATGTTGTATAAAATTGTAGCAATTGTTTACCTTGAGAGACAGCGTCCGATAACCTCGACCTTCACATACTCGTATGTTGGTTGGCGTATGATTCTGAGTAACTTTTTCTAATAACTTAACTTGTAGTTTCTTACAGCTCTTGAGATATTCATGAGATAGTCATGATTCTGAGTAATTTTTCTCCGTCCATACGTTTTTATTCCTGTATAGTCAAATATTTCCGTAATTATTAAAGATAGGAGAAAAATGTTTCAGGTAAGAGTTATTTGGCGTAATGGAGGACATTTAGTAAGCTGTTTCGATTTTCTTTTACATTGTTATTTAAAGAGATTTCAAGATTAATGCAATTATTTTTAATGGAACTACGTATTGTCATTAATGTCATTTATTGTATTTTTCAACACGAATTCAACGATGTGTATAATGTTTACCTTTAATTAATAGTGTATCGTCTATTTTAATAAATAGTCGTAAAGGCGCGGTTCAGAGTAAGGATACTTCAAATTTGACCGTGGTTGCAAGCGTATTAATTACAAACAACGATTTCTGACATTTTTGTGTGCAAAATTAAAAATAACATTTTTAACAGTCAGGAGGATGATTCCACTAAAGAAAAAAGTTTACCTTCGCAAATTCTCTATACGCTTATAGAGGAAAAACTCGCTCGCATCAGATAATGTTTCTCCCGAAACTATTTAACATATTTAATACCATAAATATTATTATACCAAGTGTTTAGCGATATTAAAAAACTAAAATTTATTTATAAGAGAAGAATTAGGGACAGCCTCAATATATTAAAAGAATGGTAGCAATAAATTACTGATATAAATATAAACGTTCTTATCTGGCCTTGTTTTCAAGTAGTAACGAGTTCGATTTTTTGTGTATTTTATCTGCTTACTTGTAGAAAGGATTTTCAAACTGACCTTCTTGCATTTGGACATAAGTTTGCAGATGTTTATGATGGCTATACTTCCTCCATATAACCAGCTATTGCACAAGTTTGTTGGAAATTTTGTTTGATTCTTTCGCGTAATATTTTGACACTTCAATAGGCATTCTGTTCACAAAGGATTTCAAATAACCACACAAGATTTATTTCACTGGTATATGTACTCATATGTGTGTCATGCTAAGAGATAGCATTTATAAGAATTAGATTGCAAGCTTATGCCTAAGATATCGTGCCTTTCTTGTAAGTACACTCTCTGACAAAACAATATCACATCATATTTAATTGGTTAATTCCTTATTTAATTTAATACACGGTGCAATACCAATCAATTTTTGTACTCTTTTTGTTTATAAGATCCAACTTACGTATGTAAAATATTCAAATTCGACATGATTTTATTTAAAAAATACAAATGTTGGAGAAAATCAGTACTACAAAATGATAGTACGTACATACATGTAAAAAATTGAAATATGACTATATACCTGTGTAGAAAATGTGGCAATTTTATTTGCCATTTTATACTTTATAGAGCTTTCCTTAGTTTACATAATGGAAACGATTTTTTTATGGAGATTTATTAAAGATTTATTGAGTTTTCTTTATAACTTCATAGCATAATTGTTGTCACTTTCCTTCGATGGCATTCTTTTTAACAAGTTGATGTTATGAAATTGTTATTTATTTGCATATACGACTGTTGCAAGGTAATCCCATCAAATGTTTAATAGTATTTAACATATTTGTTTAGCTGTTCAGTTATGATAATGATAGTTATAATGATACGTTTTATGCGACTCAATAATTCCTTATGTTTTCTAATGGTAATGGTATGTTTTCTATGGTGATAAAACTTAAACCTATAGTTCTATGTATGTTAAACGTTTCTTCCTCGCTGAATATTATTTTTTGCCATTTCTTCATTCGTTGAATGTTTTTTCCGCGAACGCTAATCAAGTACTTTTCGCTGGACTTTTAAGACAAGCTTTCTCAGTAATTTCCTTCTCTTTAAACATCTACGTAATTGTAGAACGCGTTGTACAATTTTTATAAGGTAATTCTAAGAGAGACGTATCACATTGTGTTTTTCATAGCACTTAATACTTTCTTTATAGCTTTTGTCTCAGATATTTCTTCACATCAGCCATATTTTTTTTAGAAAATTAAGTGTTCGCAGTTTGTAAAAATGTACTGTGTAAAGGTCAACTATTCGTTTAAATGATTTTTTAAAAATAAAACATAGATTTTAATATTAGAAAATAATACATAATTTCAATGTAAACTAATAATTTTTCATTATAAGTGACTTAACACGGTATACTAGCGTGATCGGTAAAAAGAATCGATCTTTTCCTTTAATTTGATATATCGAAAGTATAACTCTGAAAATTTGTATCGAAACTACATTTTTCGAATCGATTGCCACGGTATCTCTGGTCTGCACAACAGCGTGAGTCTACGATGTGATCACGGCAATAGTAGGCCGGATCAACACGGAGGTTGTAAATCTTCGATTCGATTAATATTGACACCGTAGATGATGCATACTCACGTGTTCCTATGACGTTTTACCGCGATAGGAAGAATTCAAACTGAGATACAAATTTTGTCAAATAAAACTGTATTTTACCGTCTGGAATTATAGTGGTGAATTATTGCACTGCGAACTGGGAGTGTGAAACGTGCTGAGCGTTGATTCTGAGACTTGTGAAAAACGTGCAAGTGTGTGTGTATGCGTGTGTTTAGGGAGAATCACTCCCATGTTAAGTGTTGCGTGTGTCTGATGCGAGATTGTCTTTTTTTTCAAAAGGGAGTTACGTTTTCAACTTACGCTCTCAAAAGAGAGATACGCTTTTACATTTCAAAAAGGAGACAGCAATTCCATGGAAATATAAAATTGGTACTCTGATAATTTAAAAATCATCATTTATAATTTTATTATATTTTTTCAAAATCGATTTTGTAGTCTAAAATTCTAAAAAAAATTCCTGGAAATGCACATTTAGACCTAGAAGAACTACGATTTTTTTTTTATAATTTCTTATTAAATAGAACATAAAATATGAGGTATAAACCGTGTACTGCATTCCATCCTGCAACTACCCTACTAGTAGGAGTAATGGCTGAAAACTTGGTACAAAGGGGTTTCTTCGAGAGATCTATCGAATGGTATGTGCGAAGGTGGATTTGGTTTGGGGGTACTTTTATCCCTCCTTCGGCTTATGCTCTTTCCAGCTTAGGCTGCGCCTTGTAGAATTGGAAGAATAGAAGTCTTGATGTTCTGTTAGCCTTAGTGAGCTGCAAAACATTCAGAATATTGTGCAATCATGCCAAAGTATATTCTTTCTGATTTCTACAGTTTTTTTAATGAAAAAACGAAATTTTAAATGTTATGGTATATCGCTTATGTTAATAACTTCCACCGAATTTTCAGAAATAATTCCTAAGAAAGCGTTTAAAGACACCTATTACAATAGAATACCTTCTTAACACCTTTGTATAGTGAATCACGAGCTATGACCATTTAAAAAAACGAAGTTGTCCTTCATATGTGCTCCACGCGTTCATATAGGAAGAAGTTATTTACTTACATAAGATGATATATCACTTTGAGATCATCAAAATTTTCCCTGACACATTTTATAGCATCATCAATGGTTTCGAAGATATTCATGGGGGCACATTTAAACAGATTACTCTATATGTGAAGGTTTTTATAATAGTATACGCAATACACTGTTTTACGATGAAAATCATAAAAGTGAGACGTACATCGCTATGATTCTTAGCCCTTTATGTTAGCATCCGTAACACAGCTGCAAGCATAGCTGGCACGTTTACTGCTTCAAACTGTAAACAAAAGATAAGAACTGAGTTGGGTTTGCTTACATTTTATCCGACTGCAGTACACCGACCAGTACCAATCTGCACTATCACTGCCAGAATTCAAGGTAGTAATGTGAACAGTCCATTTACATATCTCAGAAACTAAAAAAGTACAGTAATAACATACAAAGGAAAAAGCTTATAATACATTTAAAAGTCATTAAAACATACAAATTGCAGTATGCATACTTGTAGTTTCAATTAAAGTATCTTTCTTTCAATCCATTTGTAGAGTATAAAAACATGTTTTTCTTAATTTCGATAATGTACATAACAAAAATAGCTGCTATTCTATTGTTTTTTGAGGCATTAAGGTAACAAATCAGATGAAATTTTTACGAATTATTTAGAAGTAATTTTATTCGATCATCATTATGTTTAATACAGAAGATTGATGTATTCAGATTTTAAGACAATAGACAGTTTTTCTCGGTATAGTAATATTCTTAGCAGTTACTGAATATTACCCTGAATTAATCAATATTGTCGGTGTTACTAATTGTAAGTAGATATTTCTCTGCAAGCTCTAGATTTGTTGGATGCTTAATTATTTGCATTTTCTAACATTCAAAGAATCAAATTATAATCAAAATTCAGCTAAATAACTTTTAAGTTCAACAGTCGAAACGGATATTACTATTTACCGTAAGATTACACATTCACGGTTTGGTATGTTTACGGAATTTATAATAATTAACTATTACGAGTATAATAAATTTTTACGGAGGGAAACAGATAGAGTACAATGAACTATAATGTTATACAGTTATTTACACTCGAAATTGTCTGCACGATAATTTAAAGTTCATGGTGTGAAGTGAAGAACATAATAGAATAATTTCCTTTGTATATTACAAAACAACTACTTTATTTCGGATTGCCCTTATTATATACAAACAACAAGTATAAAAAACTATGTACTTAGTTTATAAAAAAATTAGTCCAAACAAAAATTAGCTCGATAAAGAGCTCATAATGAATTTTGACCACGAAACATTTTGGACAATAATTGATTAAAAAATAAAAGTAATTAAAGTAATTTAATATTTTGTTGGTTACCCCTAATTTTTTTCAACACTTAATATTCTGTTTGACATGGATTTGATTAATTGTTCGATAAAAGAAGATTATATCTGTGCTTAATTTCACAAGAAGTACATTTTGCAAGTCAGTCGTATTGTGAATAGTATGTTTACGAATACGAATTTCTAATACATTCCATATATAGTATAAAGTAAAACTGATTCAATGATTAAAGTTTTCATATAATTCTTCGTTTTGCAGTATGAGCAGTAAGGTATACAAAAAATAATCATAATAATAACATTCTGCACTGTTTAAGCTAACATAAACAGTCTTTAAATATTGCGTATCTTTTTGTCTGTAGTTACAAACAAATATTCATTGAATTAATTTCACACTATCTTTTAACTTTAAGAAATGTCTAATATTTTGCCCAAAAAAATCTGTAAAAAATGTTTAATATTTTGTCCGAAGTCTTTTTCCTTTGCCAACTAAATTAAGTTATTTCAACATTGATTCTATTAATTTTTTGCAATCCCGATTATAATTGCGATCGATTTTATTTCGTTGCTCAACAATTCTCCTCTGTAGCTTAGCAGTGGAAGGCATCATTATGCGAATCGTGTACTATTCTTTTCAAAAATACCCATATGTTTTCAAATGAATTGAGATCGGAACCTTCAAGGGGCTACTCCGAAACGCAACATTTTTATGTACTTACAAGGTAACCTTTTCTACCAACACACGCCAATTTTGATGAAACTTATGTGAGACACGGTTCTCAAGAAAATATTTGACGCGTATTTTTTCTTATCGGTTAATATCAACTTCGAATTGAATCAACTCTTCAAAGTTGAGGGTTGAAAATATATTTTTTACAATATTTCTGAAACTGAGGGCGTAGAAAAGAAATTTTCTTTTTAAATTGTTTGCTTCGAAATGAACAATTTAGATTTCTTTTCTGCACCTTCTAGTTTCAGGGATATTGTAGAAAACATATTTTCAACTCTCAACTTTGAGGAGTGTTTTCATTTGTTCAAAGTGGACATTGGCCGATAAGAAAAAATACGTATCAAATATTTTCTTGAAAACTATATCTCATATAAGTTTCATCAAAATCGGCGTGTGCTGGTTGAGATGGTTCTCTTGTTAGCCTGTTTCTTTATACTTGTCGTTGTATGTTTGAACTCTTGATCATGTTGAAATCCAATGGTTTCTTTGAGAAATATATTTTACATAATATCCAATAATTT